TCTGGTGTATACCCAAAGCGGACAATATTCTGTAGCGGGTGAGTTGGGCTGTTACAGGCCCCTCAACAAAAGGTAATAACCGAAAAAAAATCAAACAAAGGACTAGATGACACTTTTTTTTTAAGACTCACGAAATTTTTTGAAACTTTTGGGGAAAAATCCGAAAAAATTCGAACAAAAAGACTCAAAAAATCGAACAAAAAAAATAATGGAATAGAAAAAGTTAAACGAACACCCAATCGATCACTCTCAATGAAAGCACCAATGGTGACGGATCGTGTGTTCGTTACCCTCGACTTGTCTCGATCACGGCTTTGCCACGGCCTTGGTCTCGACGATAGGTGTGATCGACTCGGTTATTAGCCTAACTCTCTCACGATACTTGAGTTCACTCGGGTATTAGCCTCGCTACACTCTTTTGAACTGGCTTGGGTCTTAGCCTCACCAATTTGGTTGCATGATCGAATTCTCACAAACCCTAACACACGGTTTGAACAAACGTTCCTTTTCTATTTCATCAAATCCAAGACCTCTTGAAAACAATGAGGGATGCTCCTTATTTATAGATCCTAACTATGACTAATTCTAATCTACCTAGGAAACATATTAAAGCAATACAATATTAAATTCCTAAACAATCTAGATATTATTGTGCAAGAAGGAAACTAAATATACTAGAGTCCTAAATTGACTAGATCTTGATCTTGCTTGGCTTGCACTACAAACAATTCCAATTCTTGCCCCAAGTCTTCACCGCGCTACTTCGCGCACGCCACCTTCACGTTGCCTAATCCTTGTCGTGCGCGGCTTCGCACGCGCGTCTCCCACGTCTGCGTGCACCGCCTCACGCTCGCCTAGTCCTGCACGGACTGGGCTTCGCGCATCTGCCCACCACGCGGGCGCCATCCCGCGCGCTATTTCTTCGCTGCCGCCCTTGCGCGCGTACGCGTCCAGCACGCCTATGCCTTCGCGGTGTAGGACTCCCGCGTCTGCGCCACACCCGCGCGCTTTCTTGCGCGCCCGGTTCCACCCGATCCTCTCGCGCGCGTGCTGTCGCGCGCCTGCCATTCCTTCGCCTGCTGGGTTGCGGACACCACCCGCGTGACCTTCACCCGCGCGCCCATCTCGCCCGTCGCTCGCTCCCCGCGCTTTCCTCCTATCGCCCGTGATCCGATCACCTACCGTGCACCCGCGTACACCCAATGCTGACCGCGTGCTGACCACCCGCTCTCGCGCATCACCGCCCGATGCGCGCCTTTCGCCCGTGCGACCATCAATCACCCCCGGTTAATCTTCGGCCTCAACAACCAATTCCGTATCATTCCCCTCCTCTTCAAGACGTTCCTTGTCCTCAAGGATTAAGAAATTCAGTACATCCACGTCACTATATTCTTCAACGGGAAATTCACCTTGATCCTCAGTCCTCAACTTAATGCGCTTTCCTGGTCATCCAAACTTCATCTTTCCTCGCTTATAGTCAGTCGTAATGGGTCCAAGCGTTTCCAGCCACTGTACTCCTAACACAATATATGTTGTCTTAAGCGGTAAGGCGTAAAGATCAATTTCCAGCTCGTGATCCTGTGCCGTTATCGGGACCTTCTTGAATAATTGACTTCCCTGCAGCTCATGTCCATTGGCCACCTTGACACCAAACTTCTTGACTTTTGTGGGTACCAATTTCAACTTCCGGGCTATCCCTTCATCGATAAAATTTAAACTCGACCCACTGTCCACCAGGACCTCTAGCAACATATCCTTTATCTCAGCCGTGAATCTGATCATTCTAGGACCACGCTTATTGCACTTTGCCATATGCAACCAGGACTCTTCCTGTGGCTTTTCTTCCTCTCGTTCCTCCTCAATTTCCAATAGAAAAATTTCCTTACCTTTGCACTTGTGGCCTGGCACAACTTTCTCGTTGCAAGTAAAGCACAAGCCTTTTTCCCTTCGCCTTTGTATTTCATCCTCCGTCAGCCGTCGGTAGTTGCTTGTGGTGCGTGTACCATCGCCAACTGTGGGTTTGACCTCGGCCCGTGGGGGCGTATCGTCGACCGCGACGCTCGCGCGCCGAACGTCCGTGCGCCCCTCGCTTGGTCTGGCCCTGCGCACTGCCGCGAGATGATCCTCATGCTGTAATATCCCATTCAGTTATTAGTAAAAAGTATCAGTTAATTTCCAAGATTAAGCTATTTTGAAGCTTAAAAAGTTGGAATTTTAAGTTTTTCAAGTCACACGAGTC